TTGGTATTTTAAAGCTTTTCATAAAACTGCCATCAATCTTTTTCTTCATTAAGGGATTCTAAAGGATTTTTTTTTTTGGCTAAGAATTTTGGGTGGCGATTTGTTCATTTTGCTGGAACATAATGTACATGAGTGAACTTTTTTAGTTTGTGGTGATTGAAAGATCTAATCTTCATTTATGGTCTATGTACTAGATGGAATTGAGGTATAATTGGTTTAGATAGATTTACTCAATGGTTCATTTGCATGAACTTTATGAATAGAGATGGGAGGCTCTTCAAGCATCTAGTGTGGTTGATTACTTGCCCACATTTTCTTTCATTGAGGAAGATCCCCAGATTTATCTAGATATTCGAATTTCTTACTCTCGTGATCCTATGGACACAATACTACTCCATAATCGTTAGATGAGACCTATTTGTTCATTTGTCTTTTGGTAGACCTCAACAATCCAAACTGGCTTGGTTTAAATATAGGTGGTCCTCGTGTCCCTACTTTTGATGCTCTTGGTCTTCTTCCTTCTGGCAACAATAAGATAGGTCATTGTTCGCATGATGACTCTACGCAAAATGGCATTGCAAAGGCATTTCCAAGTGGTGTTGATATTGGCATAGGTTTGGTGAGCTTTTCCTTTTAAAAAGCTTGCATGGAGATATGTGCTTTAGGAGTTAGGAAGAGCATAAATTGGTAGTGTTATGTTACTTCCTTTGACGCTAGGCTACTCATCTTTACTTGGTTTTAATGAAATCTTACAAACTCTATTCTCATGCTTTTGGTTTAAGGAGGACTGTGGTCTTTAGATCACATGTTTAGAGGCTCTGTTTTCTTTCAATCGAGAACTTTTTGTTCTCTTGTCAGTGTCTATATGGCACCAGTTTTTCCAAAAATGGCACTTCATTTGGTTGGTAGATGTTATCATCTCTAGCTTATAGGTCTTCATTAGTTCGGGTCTCTCCTTCCTGTTAAGGCCTTTTGTATGGAGTGGAGTTTTCTCTAAAAGCTTTATGTTAGAGCTGGTAATTCAAGTAGGACGAACTTGTTTAGGCTAGTTTTAAAATACCTAAAGTTATAAAAAAAAGTTTATATTATCAAACTTAGCTCTAATACTCTTGAGTTTAGACTTATTCAGGTCGGTTTGAATATGCAAAATTTTTTAAATATATTTTAAAAAAAATCCTTTTTTGGAGATATGGTAGAAAAACATCTTTTTGGACCCAATTTTAACTTAAAAATTAACTTATAAAAACAATTGAAAATAAAAAAGTTCAAGAGTCACTTGATCTCATCATTATAAATGTCCACGAATAAGACCTTGTCCTTGTGCAGAGTCTTGGCCATTGGCTTCTCATAGCGATGCGAACAAATGAACCCTCCATCACTGTAGATCATGCAAATGGTGATGGGCTTAATAGGGTTGCCATCCAAATCTACCCTAGTGGACGACGCCAGTTTTTTGCTTGATGAAGATGTAGGTTGGGATAATGCTACGAATGCCGCGTTAAGAAGAGGTTGGAGAGAATTTCGAGACACAAGGAAAAAATGTGGAAGCGGAAGATTGAAGTGGTGAGGGTGCTCTAGTGAAGGAAGCATAAAAGAAATAAAGCCGAGCAACTCGTGAGTCATGCTTTGAAATTAGATCTATGACTGAAGAAAATGATATGAGTTGGAGGCACCGTCATGGAGAGAACTGGAGTCGTCTAGGAGGAAGTCGCCATTTGCTAAGCAAAGAAGAATAAAGGCGTGCAGAGAAGAAATGACATACATGTGCAAGAATAAGCTCAAATTAAAAGAATTTTCTTAATTCACAAGACTGGTTCTAAAATTTTTAAATTTATTTGGGCTGGTCGGTTGAGTTTGGCTCATATTACTGAACTCTACTTTATGCTAGAAGTCGGTGATTATGTTTTTTTGTTTGCTGCATGTTTTCTTTCGGCTGTTTCTTTTTCATATGTTTTGGGCCAGTTTTTGTGCTTTTCATTTGCTGCATATCATCTTTGGGCTGTTTGTGTTTTATGCGTTCTCCTTTAAATATGTGTACTACTAATGTTTCTTAGTAATGAATAAATTTGACTTTGGATCCAAAAAAAAAAAAAAAAAAGGGCAAAGCGAAACTGCATGTGAAGTCCACAATAAGAAAATATACACAAGACAAAAAAAAAAGAAAAAAAGTTAGATGATGACTATTACAAAAATAGTGGTTTCAATCCAGCAATAAGATTACAAATTTAATTTACATTGATCTTATTAAAAATATAAGTGTGCGACTTTTAATTTTTTTTATCTTTTAAAGTTTAAACTTTAATTTACACTTGATAATAAATTTTAAATAAAATATTTTATTGTTTTTATTCTCAGTAAGAACGACATAATAAATTAGAGAACAAAAATAAATTTTTATACTTTTAGTATGCATAATAGTAACAAATTATAAAAAATAATTTTTTAAAAATAAATTCTAATACAAAGGGACATAGGGTACATTTATATTTTGTAATTTAGAACACTTATTTATTGTAGAATTATCAAAGGCAGTCTTTATTCAATGTTTAATTTAAATTAGTATTTATTCATGTTTAGTTGGAGGGGGATAAATGGGAGTGGAGGTGATGAGACAAGAAAGATTTTGACAAATTTGATTTAAACATGGAAAAGTGGGGTTAAATTTTTTTTAATTGATTGAATAGAAAATAGTAATAAGATGTCAAATAATCAATTAAAAATTTTTAACCTTACTTATGATTATTTAAAAATAAACTCCTCAAAATATCTCATTCTTTTCTTTGTCTAACATATCATGCATTGCACGAAGTAAAATCTAGTTTAAAAGAGTAAAATATAATAATCTTAGTTCAAGTTTGTCAAATTATGGAGATATTTTTTTATTTTCAAAATTTAAATTTTAAATCATTTTTAACACTTTTAAGATTTTAAAATATTTTATTTTATTAATTAAATATGTAAAAAAATTAGGCTAAAATTTATAAAATACTTTTAAACTTTAAAACAGTTGTATATAACAACACTTACCTTTAAAAGTTTTAAATTAACCCCCTTCATCTTTATTTTTATTTTTCAAAACCCCCTATTATTAATTATGTTATTTTTTCATAAGGATGAAAATGTCATTCAACTAAAAAATATTATTAAACAAGATATTATACTATAGAATTATGGCTAATTAATTTTTTATATTTTTAAGATAGTTGAGGCATTGATAATAGCCAAAAAAAATATTATTATCACTATATAAAATTTTAAATATTTACTTTTGTATTAGTTTTATCTTTTTTTCTTATCAATGGTATATAGTTTTATAGTATTAAAAAATAAATTAATCTAATATGATAATATTTAAAACTTTAAATATTTTAGCCATGTGCCTTACATTAATTTAACATGAAAATATAATTAAAAATTTATCTTTTAAAAAAATAAAATTAACAAAAAATGGATAAAACTAATATAAACATAAATATTTAAAATTTTATACAATGATAATAATTTTTTTTGTTATCAATGCCTCAACTATCCAAAAAATATAAGAAATTTATTATAAATACTTAGACAGTATAACATTTTTGTTTAATAATATTTTTTAGTTGAATGACATTTTAACCCTCATGAAAAAATAATATAATTAATAATAGAGGGTTTTGAAAAATAAAATTAAAGGTTAGGGGGTTAATTTTAGATTTTTAAAGGTGAGGGAGGTTATATACAACTGTCTCAAAATTCATGAGGGTTTTATGTATTTTTAGCCAAAAAATTAAAATGATTGATTTGCCCTCATTATCTCATGTCTTCTCACCCTTTGCTTTTGATTCAAGGAATGTTATCATTATATTTAGGGTCAATGAACAAATAAGACCCTGAACTTTTGCTTGAAAATCGCCCTGGGTCATGAACTCTTAAAATATATAAAATAAATCCTAAATTTTTAAATTTATAATAAAATAAACTTTGATCGTTAACTTTTTTAACACGATTACTGTCCACATGGGTACTGTAAAAATTTAGGGTTAAATTCATAGAAAAATAAATTTTGAACAGTACTTATATGGACAATAATGGTGTTAAAAAGTTAGCGGTAGGGATTTATTTTTATAAATTTAAAATTTAAAATTTATTTTACATATTTTAAGAGTTTAGAGTTAGAGTAATTTTTGAGTAATAGTTCATAATTTTATTTGCTCATTAATCCTTATATTTACACAAATGTTTTACAAAATATTTAAATAAATAAGCATAAATTATACTAAAATTAAAAATAAATATAAATTATATCTATTAATTTATATCTAATTATATTAAATTTTTAATTATTTTTTCAATAAATTTGCTAATTCATTAAATTTTCATTCATGTATGTTTAGAATATTATTTTTTTCAACTTATAAATCTAAAATTTAAAAAATTATCATATAAATAAATTTATATAAATGACTCTTAAACTCATATAATATATAAATGAATTTATTAATATTTAATATTATTTTTATCATCTTATATATTATAATTATTGTTAGAAAACTTAAATCACTCATAAACAATATGTTTATTAAAAAGGACATTTCTAAAAATGGGATTTGGATTGAGGAAGAAGTGGAGGCATTGACATGTGTACAGTAAAAAATCAAAGGCTTGTTTGTTAACTTCCATTAAAAATAATTTTTTATCCTCCAAAATTAAAAATTCATTTGATAATATGTTTTTGTAGGAAGTGTTTTTAAAATAAAATAATTAAAATTTTGAAAAAAATCTCTTTTAAACGTTTTAAATTTATTTTTTTGATAAATGGTGTTTTGAAATTATTATTTTAAAAAATAAGAAAAAATTTGGATTTTTATTATTTTTTTATCACATGTTTTACAAAATATTAATTTTTAAAATAATAAAATAAAAATAATTTTAAACAAGCTCTGGCATTTGCATTTTTTTTTTTTTTTGATATGTAGAATCTCATCAGTCGTCGTCTTCATCGTCATCATCATCACGCAAATGAGGTAACACGGATGGTGAAAAATCTGGGAATGTGTAGACATTGTTATGAAACAGGGCTGTAAGCAGGCAAGCCAATTTCATACGGGGCCCAAAGCCTCAAACTCAAAGTCTAGCTATTTTAAATTTGGAGACGGAATCTTCGAGCCTAAACGAAACTTCATAGGAGCCGCCAAATTTGCAAGTACGCAAATTATCATTTCCTTTTTCCAGTTCAACATTTCACAGCTGACCCGCAAATTTGCAAAGTATGTTGGCTCCCCTGAGCACCGTCGTCTCCATGACCGCGCACGGCGACAAACCCACCGTCGCATTCACGACGCCACCCAATTACGCCGCCCGAATTTCCCACCTGCTCTCCCTCAACGGCTACGATCCGCTTTGGTGTCCTACACTGTATGTCGAACCCACCCCACACACCATCTCTTCCCTCAAATCTTACCTCTCTCCTCACACCCTCGACCACTTCTCCGCCATCGCCTTCACTTCCAGAACCTCAATCCAAGCCTTCTCAGACGCCGCCGTCAATCTCACAGAACCACCGCTGTCTCCTTCCGGCGATGCTTTCACCATCGCGGCTCTTGGAAAAGACTCAGAGCTTATTGACCAGACTTTTGTGTCGAAGCTGTGTGATAATTCGGATCGAGTTAGGGTTCTTGTGCCACCCACGGCAACACCGAGTTGCTTGGTGGAGTCACTTGGCGTCGGCGGTGGGCGGAGGGTGTTGTGTCCGGTTCCGCTGGTTGTGCAGCTGGAAGAGCCTCCGGTGGTCCCGAATTTCATCAAAGAGCTCCATGGCGGCGGGTGGGAGCCCATTAGAGTGAACGCGTACGAGACGCGATGGGCAGGGCCACATTGCGCGCACGAGATTGTTAAGGGAGCCGAGGAGGGACGATTGGATGTGGTGGTGTTCACGAGTAGCGCTGAGGTCGAGGGGCTTTTGAAGAGCTTGAAGGAAATGGGATTGGATTTTGAGAGATTGAAGAACATTTGCCCAGAACTGATTGTGGCATCTCATGGGCCAGTGACGAAGGCAGGATCAGAGAGGTTGGGAGTGAAGGTTGATGTGGTAAGTTCAAAGTTTGATAGTTTTGATGGAGTTGCTCACGCCATTAATTTGACTCTTGGCAAGAACTAGATATACCAAACACTTCGTATGCATATACAGTTACTTCTTCACAAGTTTCAGATTCTGGGTTCATGATTTAGAACCTTTACTTTATGATGCATGAGATCTATCTTCATCTGTCTGTTATCTTCTAGCTTGGCTTGCCTCTTTCCTTAATGCAACAATTGTCACATTAAGCTCTGCTGATTTTCTCCTCCACCTTTCTTCTTGTGGGGTCCGTGGATTGGAAATGTAAATCATTTGATGCAAATGCCTTGATGCTGCGCTTGGAATGGCCTAAAATCTATATACTTTGTGCTGAAGGAGATATTTGAGAAAGGTTCTTCGAGGAATTCTTTATTCTTATATAAACTTTTGTGTAATAAAAATATGTCATGTCTTTTCCAATTTAGTCAAATAAAATTTGATGTATAATTATTGTTAATGATTATCTTTTTAAAATAGATACCTGTTTAATATTTTTATCTTTTGTTGTCTATTATTATTAATAATAAAATTAATTTATATTCACAACTACATAACATTATATGTTTTTATTAGAGAGAATATGAATGACTTAACTGGTTATGCAATGCAAATAATACTCATCTTGGAACTTGTCTTGAATTTAGAATTATATAATGTGACTATTTTCTTTTACTTCCTTCATTTAAAAATATATTTTTTGAGGAGTTGGATGTTAAAAAATATAAGATATTTTTAATTTTTAAGGTGTAATCATTATTTTTTTTCAAAAGTGTCCCTATTAATAATGATTTTATATTTATTGAAAAATGTTTAATAGGAGTAAATATAAAAAAATATTGTTAGTTTAAAAGTAAGTAATTACTTTATTGGATGATAAAATTTAATTAAAAATATCTTATATTTTTGAATGAAAAGAGTAGTATGCTTTACCTCATTTTTATTTTAAAAATATACAAGTTTGTCTGATTTGTTAAAGGATTTAAAAAATAACTCCGTTAAGAATGTTTTAAAAACTTAAAAAATATTTTTGATTATAATTTACACTAAAACAACATTTATTTATGAATTTACCCTCATTATAGTAAATTTTTAAATTATATTATTATTTTTATAGTTACATGAATTTCATTTAGGAAGGAAAAATATAATTTAAAAGTTTTCTTCTTTTTATTTTTTATTGCAAATATTTATCGACACGATAAATTCAAATTTATATTTTTTTTGGCAATATGAATTTATATGATCTTTTATAGTATTTTTATTTTTATTACTTTATATTTTATGTCTCTATTGATCCCAGGTCCTCTGCCGCTGTCTCCATTATTTCATAAACAGAGACTAATAAGTAATAATGGAAAAATTTTAACCAAAAAACAAGAAAAGAAAAAAAGTAATAAGGGAAAAGTTGAAAGAGGTCCCCGTGAAATGACAGGGTTTAATAAACATATAGCAGTAGCACACTGCATACTTTTCTTGTCTATAGGAAAGAGGTCTCTGGGGGTCCTTTTTATAAGAAGTGATGTTTGATTATTTATTAGAATTTCAATTTTTATTACCGATATGCAATATTGATATAAGAAAGTGAAAAACCTTTATAAAAATGTATTTGATACAAGCAAAGGAGAAAACTTTTTTATCTTTAGCTAAAGTTCATGTGCTCTAATTAATTAAAATTGTTGTAAATGATAGAGATTTTGTTATTTAAATAAGTGATTAAAGATTCAAAGTAATTTTTTATATACAAAATTTTAGTCCAAAAAAAAAATACCTTTTGCTTTGCTAAAAATGAAAGTTTATAAGTTTTAAATTTTTTATTAAAATATATTTAAAATAACTTATATATAAGGTTAGAGTGAGTATACTAACTATTCAACTATCATTATCATACCAAATCCTAGCAACATTAGAGTAGATTGATTTAACGGACATTTTTTGGGGGGATCCTTTAAATTTGATTCAAATTGTTCAAAATCTTCATATTTTTATTTTTTTAATTTTAAATAATATTTATTTGTAAATTTATAGTTAAAATTAGTATTAGTCTACATTCTACTTCTTTTAAAATAAAAACTGAAAATTAATTAAAAATATAAATTGTCAAAATCAAACCTGAAAATTTCAAAATTGATGCACACATCAAATAACAATACTAATGGTAGAGTATAGAGCTACGGACCTAAAGCACTTTTTCTTTCTTTCTTTCTCTACAACACAAACCTTTTCTAATTAATTTAGGAAGCTGTATATTCATGGTAAGATGGAAATGCCACAATTTTGTCTCTTGAAAGTTCTTAGATGGATAAATTATTCAGATTTATTATCACCATGCAAGAGAGATTTCACAAGTAACAAACCAGTTCAAGATGTTTCGCTCTTTCCTAAATTTTGTTGATATCATTTTTTTTAAAATTTGAGGAAGGCGGCTGGGATGTTTAGCAAGTTTAGAGGAATTACATCTGGGCCTATATTACTATTTACTGCAATATATTAGTAATTTATCTATATCTTTTATTTTTCAGCAGACTATTTAATTGTAATCTTCACTAAAAGAAAAACCTTTTTTAATTGAAAATTAGAGGTACATCAAACATATTAAAAAAAATTAAATAAAGGCTCACATGTGAATTTGAATTATGGAAGTGGTCTAAATTTACGTATTTAAATTCAGTAAGTGACTTAAATTCACTTACTAAATAGATGTTTTATAGCACAATAACAATTACTCCTCCCATTTAAAAATATAAAATATTTTTTGAAGAGTTGGATATTGAAAAATATAAGACATTTTTAATTTTTTGAGATACAATAATTGCCTTTTTTTTTTAAAAAAATACCTCTATTGACTTTATATTTATTTTAGGGTGTTTAATAAGAATATATATACAAAAAATAGGATTAATTTAAAAATAAATAACTATTTTATTAAGAGGTAAAATTTGATTAAAATGCCTTACATTTTTAAACAAAGAGAGTATTTGATTCAATTGAATGTTGTCAAAAATTGTTATATAACACTCAAAAAATATCAAATCTCAAATTTTTGAAAGAAACAACCTTAATAATTTTTAGATATTAATGAAATATAATGACTATAAATGATACACTTATTGAGTGAGTCAACTTTATGCCACTCACCAAACTCAAATCCTAAATCTATTCTCTCAATAAGTGTTCCAATTATAATAATTATGTTTCATCACTATTTGAAAATTATTAAGATACTTTTCCCTTAAAAACTTCAAAACAACACTCATAATCAGAACATTCCTAACGCACACTATCCTCTCCAAAGATTTGAGATTCAATGCTTTCTTAATATCATATAATAAAATCTTTTACAATTGTTTAATTAAATTAAAAGGTTATTATCATATCATATGAAACGCTCATTGAATGAGTGAATTTATATCACTTACAAGATCCAAATCCACTGGGAAAATAAAAGGGGTAAGGAAAGAAACGAGAAGCTCTTTGGTCGGATAGAATGGCTTCTTCGTATGGTTCCGACAGCGGGGAAAAATAATGCCCCAAAGACATCACCATCTAAAAGGAATGCTAGTACAGGGCATGGAAATGAGGGGGGAAAAAAAAAACCATAATTGCCATTGAATCATTCTCATTCTTTCTGTTCCAACTTTGGTTCTTCTCTTTCAAGAGTGTCTTTTTTGCATTCAACATAATCCAACCCATAAATCATGAATCAAACAACTAGTCCCAGTTAAAAAATATTGGATAAAGTATTTCTATTTAAGAGATCCTTCAAAGCAGCATGCATAACTAGATGCTACTCTCCCCTTCTGGGAACCTTGAAAACTGTTGATTAATAGGTGTGTGTATTATAAAGCAAGTCATTTTTGAAAACAAGAGAACTTGATATTAGTTAAACAAAAATGTGCATGTATAAATCACATGGATAAACAATTAGATGATGTGTCTGGGCTAATATCCTGAGCTACCTGGAGGAGGTATTCTATGTTGATATCATCAGGATAGTGCTGTAAAAGATTTAAGTTACTTACAAAATCACCACTCATTATTCTCTTTTTCACACAAAGAAGCATTGCGCAACAGATCCGAAGCAACATATCCTGCAAAAGAAACAGCTTGATCGTGATGATTCAAAAATATATATCTATGGAAAGCTTATCTTATTGTGATATGACTAGTTTATTCTAACTGATCATGGTTGAGCATGTAGTGTAGAGAGAGAGAGAGAGAGAGAGACCTGTATACCAAAAGGATTACTTAATAGTGTATCCCATATTCTCAGGATTTTGTCCAAACTGAACTCTTGTGTGAGGAGCAATGTGATCCACCGGAATGCATAGAATTGTGGTTTGACCTGTTCATGAAGTTTCAAGACATAAATTTCAGAAAACAGGGGAAAAAAACAAAGATATTGAATAAAAACACTACTCCCTCAAATCTTATATATTGAACCCTCTTAACCAATTTACAAGAATTAAAAAATCAATGAAATTAGTTATTAGTAATAAATATGTCAATAATGTATGCTATTCCTCGACAATTATTTTTAGTATTTACGAGATATCTTAACTAAAAGGCTTATCAGTGGATTGAAATTTGAACATTAGTCTTATCGGTATTTTAGCAGGAAAACAAAATTAATACAGTAAAAAAAGAAATGGATGGATTTTTGTTTGAAAAACCAAAACAAATAACTCAAAAGGGTTATATATATGTTTTACCAAAAAGAAGAAGAAGAAGAAGAAGAAGAAGAAGAAGAAGAAGAAACAAAAGGGTTATATATATGAGCATAAGATTCAATCTTAACCAACACTAAGCTACTAGCAAGATCCGAGCAAGGAAAGAAACAGACTTGAAGTAAAATGTTCTCTACCTTTGTTTTAAAATCAAGATGACGCCATAATTCCTCATCATTTACTTGTAGTAAATCTGACAAGCGGGAAAGAGTTGAAAGGATACCACTGGAACTGCTATCCAATTGTTGACAAAAATGATCTACTGAATCACTTAAGATTCGAACAAAACAAGAAAAGCTATCTGCTTCTGCATTTGCCTAAATGAAAAATAACCAATTCAACTATGCCATAAACCAGCAACAGCAAATTACTGAGCAGATCACAAATAGCAGTAACCTCTAGTGCTTACAGCATTTTCCTTGTCAGTGTCAGTACTAAATACATAGTATATTGGGGACAAGACTTCATTCATGCCTTGAACATATCGGATTGCAGGATTTAATCTTGCAAAAAGTAGAAGAATGTTCTTCATTGCTTCCTGTGTTAAAATAACAAGAAAGGCTTCATTCAGAGTTGAAGTTCTTAAAATCTTCGACTTCAAGATGAAGTGAACAGAGAATAATTTTTCTCTGGGTAAAAGTGCATTTTTGACTTGAAAGTACTCTCCTAATGAGGCTAAGTAGTACATAAATTTTCAAAACCAGTGCAATATTGTCTATTTCAACAGTTATATTAAGTCATTCATTAATTGGAGGTAGGAGATATTGTTTACCCAATACTTAAAAAAGGGTAAAATTGCATTGGTTTAGAAAGATCATGTGCTACATTGTTTTACAATATTTTTTTGGTTGCTATAACTCATCTGGGAATACATCCCGAATCAAAATGCACTTTAACCCATAATTTAAATTTATTTAAGCTGGAGGTACCTTATTTTTCCGACTAAGTGGTGAATCCCCTGAAAAGAAAGGCATGTCTGGATGAGTGCGTAGCAAATCACGATCTATCTGCGCTACCAACTCTGTATACTACAAGAAGGAATTATATTGATGCATACTGACTTCATTAACATGTGGGCAGACACAATGAGCTTCCAAATGGAGAAGAAATTTTTACCCGAAAGTATTCACGCCAAAGACTAGCCTTACATGAGCTTAGAGGGTGATCTTCTTGAGAAATTTCGTGTCGCCTAAGGGTTCCATCAACATCACTATTCTCTTGCTGCATAGCAGAACTTGATTCTCCCTCTTGTTTCCAGGTACACTCAGGCTGTCTTGTACAAAAGGTTGAAAAATCAAAATTAAGAGCTCACAAAAATATTAAACCAAAAATATTGCATGTGAAAAAATTAATATCTATACATATATATTCAACATCTTACGGGATCCTGGAGGACCTCCTCTTTCAACTGAGCATATTTTTGCCTACTCTCTTTCAATTCCTTGTCCCAAAGTTCACGGGAAGATGGCAAGAAACCCAAGAGTAGCTGGTTGTGGAAATTATAGCAGGACAATCAGCTGCTTGTATGCAGAACATAACCAAGATCACACAGTATTTACTCATAGAGCTCTCAGTGATAATTTTACACAAGTGAAAATGTGGGAAAAGAAAATCTCACAACAAGATGCAGTGTTTACCTTCCATGTTGTTGCGCGCAAACTCCCTCCATCAGGAATGCCAGTGCTCGCAATTCTTTGCAATTTTTCCATATTAATTTCCCTCTGAGAAAGCTAAACAGAGATTTGATCGTTTGATCGAATGCAATACCATAAGTTTCTCATCAGAAAAATTCCCCCCCCCCCCCAAAAAAAAAAAAAAACAAAATAATCCCCAAAAGTCATACTGCAGGTCACACTCTCTCACCTCATGTTCGAGATCGGATCTTTTCTCGTCCATCACAATAGCTTTCAACACTGAGACCGGATTTACACCATCTTCGGCAGGCCGTTGCCGAACTTTTGCGTCTACGTCCTCATCGTTAACTTCATTATCAACATCACTTTCCCTCTCACACCCTAACCCATTGGGTTGAATGGGCTCCAGCTCTTTACCCGGCTCAAATTCGCAGTCAGATCCTTCAATTTCTTCATCCTTACCCTCGAATCCGGAGACCAGGCTGCCCAGACGGTCGGGGAAAACCCTCCGTGGCTTGTCTGGAGCAGGAAGCTTGAGTTTGCCTTTGATCATGGCGTATGAGTTGGGACCGAATTCGGGGAGAGGAATCGGCCGGGTTGAAATTGAAGGAAGTGCGCAAGGAGAGATAATAGTGTAAAAGAGCAAGAAAGGAAAAGGGGTTCCTGCGATAAGTTAACTCAGTTATAATCGCAAAAAGAAGAATGTTAGTTATAGTTATCGTTAACGTTGAATGGTAGGTGGCGAACTTTTCCGCCTGGCGCATGCTTGAATTCTATTACCGCCAAATTTGCAAATAATGTTGGCCGAGGGAGGATCATTTTCGTCTCCATGATCATATACTGACAAACTCACCGTCGCGTTCACGACCCCCCTAATTACCGCCTGAATTTCCGACCTCCTCTCCGTCAACGGCTATGATCCCCTTTGGTTGATGTGGTAAGTTCAGAGTCTGACAATTTGAAGGAGTTGTTGAAGCTAATAATTTGACTTTTGAGCTTTGGCAAGAACTAGATGCTACAATTCGTACGCATAGTCACCTCTGCGCTAATTTCAGATTCCGGTTCATAAACTCAGGGCATTTTCCTGTGATGTACTCCTGCAGATTTTCAAAGCTTTTCTTGGTTATCAATATAGGATAAGTTTAGAGTGGTTATTATTGTTAGTATTACTATTTTGGATAAGAGAGTACATTGGCTCTTAATGTATAGACTCCAAAAGTGTCTGTACGGCTGTACCTCTCAATGTAATGTTTCCTTTAATTTAAAAAAAAAAAGAATAATTTAATCCATACTTCCTTCGATCCTATTTATAAGTCATTTCTACCAATCTTATCAATACCAATACAATAAAAATACAAGAAATAAAAGTAAGTAAAATTTCAAACATGCTTCTATATAACAAATTTAAAAAGTAATGTCCTGTTATCTTTTCTCTCTCATAAAGAGTAATTTTAGAAATACCTCTCAAATATTATTTAAAAAGACGCACCATGACTTATAAATGGGACCAAATGAACCCTTTAAAATGAGACTTATAAATGAGACCGGAGGGAATATTAAAATTGACTTTGATAGTTAGTTGATCATTTTTTATCAACTAGTGATCAAAATTAATTTTTGTTAATTATATAAATCAGATTATATTATTTTTAAAAGTTAAAAAAATATTATACTAAATATAAATTTAGAATTTCGAACACTTGAATCTATAATTTATACTCCCTTTGTTTAAAAATGTATAATATTTTTAACCGAATCTCACCCCAATAAAATAGTTACTTACTTTTAAATTAACTCTACTTTTTTATATTTACTCATATTAAACACTTTATAATAAATATAAAGTCACTATCGATAGGGGTATTTTTTTAAAAAAAAAGTAATAATTATATCTCAAAAAGCTAAAAATGTCTTGTATTTTTGAACATCTAACTTCTCAAAAAATACTTTATATTTTTTAACAGATGGAGTATGACAGCTTTTCCTTTTATCCTATTTTTTTTATTTGCTTGTTTATTTATTGAGGGTCTAATTATATGTATAAGAATTGAGTGCTTTTATTAACACAACAATAATAATAAACCTTATCACAATAGGTGAGTGGGATCAATTACATTAATTATATGATATTATTATAAAATATTAAACTCTAAAAATATTGTTAACAAGAAGAATCCTTTCAATAATTTTATTCAATGTTTTTTTTTTGTTTTCCCCTACTTCTCTTTATAGAATTTAAAATTGTCTATTTTGTCCTTTTCATCGATGACTTTATTGATTTTTTTTCAATATGTCCAAATCATCATCTATAATTTTCAACTACTTTTTTAACAACTATGCCACACCAACTTTTTCATGTGTATGATCATTACAAATCTTATATTTTTCTTATTCATCTTAAAATTCTTATCTCTGTTATTCTTAACTTTATATTCTTACTTTCTTTTTTAAAACCTAACATATTAATAAAACTTTCTTTTAAACTTATTGGGACCTTTTGATTGTAGATAGAACCTGTGGTCTTTCTTTATTTGAACCATCTTTACTTGTATTCTATATATAACATCTCCATTAATTTCTCTATCATTTTGTGTAATAGCTCCCAAATATTTGAATTTGGTCACTTGTGGTATGAATTGATATTCCAATTTAACCTCCAAACAACTACAAACTTGCATTTTATCATATTGATAGTGCAAATATTCTATCTTACTTCTATTTAAGCAAAAATCCTTTGATAATTGCATCAAATTATTGGTGAGTAATTTAAATTTCTTGCATCAATTTATTATGATATTATTTACAAAGAAATGTGAAATTAAAAAGTTATGTACTTTTTGACAAGTTTAACATAACTGCAATTAGTTAAGTTTGCCATAACTAGATGGAGTATGAAATCGACAAATCGTACTCCCTTGAACGTAATGAAGAGCTTTAAATTTTGTTTTAGTTTGTTTGTTATCTTCTAGCTTGGATTGCCTATTTTCTTATAAAATTCTTAGGAATTTAGTTTTAGTGAGGTAATTTGAAATGCTTCCTTTGCTATTCATGTGCATGTAAGCAGTGGACCATGTAAATGGATGTGCTTTCCCCCTCAAGGGTATGTTTGGTCTAAATTTAATTATAGGTTTGGACGGCCTAATGTGAGGTTTGGATCTCAAAAACTTTCACTCTAATATCCTATGTCTTTGACCTATACTAATCTACTGGATAACTTTTAGACACCTCTTAATTAAGGCTATACTCCTACCAAGCATTGGATCTAAAAATATTTTATTTGAATAAAGGATAGGTGATTATTATTATTATTTTTTTTTGCTTTGTGTTTATTTATCAATTCATCTTAGTTTTTTTTAAAGAAATTAGAGATGTTTCTTAATTTTATAAATAATACATCTTTCTCATCCTAATCATTGGATACATCTTATGGTGATAATTAATCTACTTCTAGTCACCACATAAAATGCCAGTAGCAATGAGTTTGCTGCAGTATAGTGTCTTGAAGAACTATTCTGTCATGCCAAAATTTGCATGACAGCATTCCAGAATTAAATAGACTATTCTTACAAAGCGAACGAGGACACAAGACAATGACAGCAAGAATAAGAAGAATATAAACTCAAATAGAATAATACAACGGATATGAATGAGAGTAGGCCAAGCTTCAATCAGACAGCATATAGCCTAGCCTGGTTGGGGTTTAGCTTGGCTTGTTTATAAACAAATTAGGCCTAATGCTTGTTTAGAGGCTTATATACCTAAACAAGATAGGTCTAGATTTTTAAAACTTGGCTTGTAAGCCTATATGCCTAGCCTGTTTAGGCAAGAAGAGGCTTGAAAACTCTAAGGCTAAGTATTGAGCACATTGCACACATCAATATTTATAGGCACAGATCAGGTAAATGTTGGGCGGTCTTAAACTATGATTAAATTACTAGTTTGAGAAAATAATGGGATTTGGATTAAATGAGTGTTTTAAATATACTCACTCGATGAATATCTCAATTATAATCGTTAGATTTCATTAATACTTGAAAATTATCAAGATATATTTCCCTCAAAAAGTCAAAACAATCAACACGATGAGAACTCTCCTTATTTATGATGTCCCCTCTAAAAATTTTAGATTTGATGTTTTCTTAGTATTATATGACAAAATCATTGATAATTGTTCGATTAAATCAAACCGTTGTTCTCATGCTACATGAGACACTTGTGAGTGAGCGTTCTCAAATCACTCAATGGATCCAAATCCAAATCAATGACACCTTATGCAACCAGTTACAAAGAATAAATAAATCACCATTAACCACTTGTCTATGAATGTTGGTAATTAAAAAGACTTAAAAAGAATCCGTTTAAGGTTTAGTGTACATAATATCCGGTTAATGCATATGCACATGCACACACTTTTATCGTTGCCTTGCCTATTTCCCACATAGAAGCTGTGGCTGGAGACATGCTAAATTAACTAACTCAAATGTAAAAGAAACTACTCTATGTTTTATTTTTTATTTTTCTTATAAACAAAATTACAAATTTTTAAGAAGCATTAATTGCATTTTCCCCAAATTGTCCCTCATAATGGATAAATTCATTAAATTAGAGAAAAACATAAACATTAATTACAAGGACATGTTAGTCCAAACATTGTAATTTTAGACATAATAATTAAAATTAACTCATATTCATAAACTATTTAAGTTGGTTGAAATGCTTATATTCGAAAACAGAGGGAGTATAACATGCATTTGAATTTTGAACCGTGTTTGGTCAAGTGGGTTCCCCATTTTCATCAGCTACCAAGATGCTCAATTTGAAATTTCCATGGAACATAGCTGGACAAATTCACACTGAAGGAAACAAGGTCATGTAATTCCAACTTTGAATTGAGGTGGCCCAGTCCATTCTCATAATGGCAAAGGTTGAACGGTCTGATTATGTTCTTGTGCCTTGCATTTCCTAGTTTCGCTGTGAATGCTGAGACATTCTTTTAAAGCTGATGGTGATGGGGCTTGCTCTTGTCTGGATTTTGGCACTCAAGCATCTCAAAACATCATTTCTTGTGAACTGATGGAGTCCAAAAAATGAGTGTTGGAATAAAATTCAACATAAGGGGCTACACATGTAAATATTAAAAATGTGTGGCCATTATGTATTAAGTCTAAATAAAGCGATATATTTAGATTGAAATTTTGAGGCTTAGAGGTTCAATTATTAATGAATTAATGTGTGCAGAATAGAATGATATTTATATTTTGTCGAGGAGTTAAATTGTAAACATTGCAAGCCTAATTCTCTAATAGGAGCTATGGTCATTGGGTTGACGTTTGATACCAATTGATAGATTTGATAATTTAGATGAATGTATAAAGTTCAAGAATCAAATTTATAAAACCCAAAAGATCAATCCTATATTAATTCTTAGTAATAGAAATAGAATACAGAAGTGTACTTGAATCCATTGCTTTGATTTGATCTCATATTTATGAATGGTTGTTTTTTCTAGATTGTTACCCTAGGAATGTCTAAATGTCTCTGAGAAGGAGAATAAAGAATATTTCTAACATACAGCCAATCAAGACCACAACCCCATAGATTCAAGTTTGTGATATTTACAATTTGTGCTCTTCAACAAAACTATTGTCCCTGTGCATTAATTCCATGACAATAAAAACCCTAAGCCTCAAAACTTCAATCTAAATAGATCACTTTTTTTAGGCTTAATAAATAATGGCCACAAAATTTTAATATTTACATTGAATTTTCCAACAAGGAGATCATCTTCCATCAACTCTTAGTTCCTTGTTTGAAATGAAGCGTCCCAAAAACTAATGCTGCAAGAAATGTAAGCAATCCAGTACAGATTAGCAAAATATGTATAAGCTTCCATGGCCCTTTGCTTTCGAATATTCCAACTGAAACAAGGCATGGTCTCAAAGGTGTTCCACATAACTCTGAATTCCCAATAAATGCACTTCTATCCATCAATTTAAAGGTTTTTCCTTTGGGAATTGAACCAGAAATATGGTTGAAAGAGACATTAAGAAGCTGCAAACTCGAAGAGCTACCAAACTTTACTGGTATTGAGCCATTGAAGTTATTGTTTGATAGGTCTACAGCACTGAGAGAAGTGATACTTGCAAGCTCATTAGGTATATGACCTGACAGGTTATTGTGGGACAAGTTTATGTACTCTAGTGCATGGCAATTGAAAACACTGTTTGGGACACTTCCAGATAAGTTGTTCCTGTCCAGTTCAATGACAGAAACTGATCTGCAGGATTCAAATGGTGGAAGATAGCCTAGAATACCACAAAAAGATGCTGAAAAATTTTCAACAAGTGGCAAAGACCATATCCGTGCTGGGATGATGCCTCCCAATTGCAGATTATGAGTGATATTGAAATACTCAAGTTTTTTAGCTTCAGAAATATCAGAGGGAATTCCTCCAACAAACTTGTTTCGAGAAAGATCAACATATGAGATATCAGGAAGATGACTGAATTTCAAAGAAATCTTCCCAGACAATGAATTATCTTCAAGTCGAAGTCGAACAAGAGAAGAACAGTTGGATAGTGACAGTGGAAGACCACCTGTAAATCTGTTCGAGAACAGGATTAGTTTAAATAGAGACCTTCTCACACAAATGTCTGGTGGTATGCTTCCAATCAAATTGTTTGTGGAAACATCCACCCATTTGAGTTTTGAGCTCCTGCCCAAGTTCTGCGGAAGTATTCCAGAAAAGCGATTGTTCCAAATGAGAAGAGTTTCTAAGGATGGGATTTGAGCAATTCCTTCAGGAACAGTTCCATTCATATCATTGTACATGAGACTAAGCAGTTTTAAGTTCTTTAACTGTGAAAAGCTTTCAGGAATGGACCCAGAAATAAGGTTGTCTGAAAGATCCAAATCTCTTATAGTTTTGATTCTGCTAAACTCACTTGGTATTGGTCCTGTGAGCTGGTTTGTGAATAGAAACATTGATTGCAAACTGGTGAGATTTGAGAGCTGGTTTGGTATTGGCCCAGATAGATTTGCACCAGAAATATCAAGATATTGAAGCTTACTCATATTACCTAACTGTGATGGAATAGTGCCCTGATAAGAATGGTAGCCAATTTCCATATGGGTTACTGCTTTGAGGTTACCCAGTTCTTGAGGTATATTACCAGAGAGAAAATTTCCTGCAAGATGAAGAAACTCAAGACTTCTAAAAGAACCGTATTCAGATGGAATTGGTCCTTTGAAGTAGCTTCCTGCTAGATTAAGAACCTTGAGATTCTCAAGTTGGGAAAGCTCAACAGGCAATGGTCCATAGAAGCTGTTGCTGAAGGCATCAAGAACAAGTAAATTTTGAAGGGAGGAAATTTCACCTGGGAAGTGACCAGAAAAGTTGTTTCTGCTAATATCCAAGCTTCTTAGGTTTGTGAGGTTGCATAGTGCCACAGGAAGCTTCCCAGAGAAGAAATTATTGCTCAGGTTTAAATCAGCAAGTTTTGTGAAGATGCCAAATTGCTTCCCTGAAATCTCACCTCCCAGATTCTTCACGGACAGGTCTATTGAAGTTACAATTGTCGAATCCTTGTTACACTTGATACCAGTCCAAGAACATGCGTAGGATTTTCTCGTTAAGTTTCTTCCAGATTGAACCATCCAGTCATGTAAACTGTTATCATGATCTGCAAGTTCAGCTTTCAGGCTAAGAAGTGCCTCTGTATAGGGATCCATTGCTAAAACTGCTGTGAATGACATGAAAGTGATGAGAAGACTCAAGTACAAACATTTGAAAATCTCCATCGTATCAGATCACAAGGAAATGAGCAATCTAAAGAAGAAAGGCAAGCAATAAGTCTGACTGTCAAATGGAGAAAGAAAAAGGAGTTGTCTAATTCAAAGGAGAGAACCACTATTATGGGGCTGCTTTTGTGAGCAAGGTGGGACCTTTGTGAAGTTTGTTTATTTGGATGGTGTTTGCCATTAGTGAATAAAGTCTTTGAATATGATACCATCTCTTTCAACTTTTTTGCTTCGTAGAGAGAATCCAATGAGTAGTAGGTTGTGATTAATTTTAGACAGGATTCCTTTTTAATCGTGTGGGACTCCATGTAAATGAATGTTAATATTCTTTTTTAAAAAGATCATAGTAATTATTCTATTCTTATCAAAATTAAGTTGTTTTTCCTTTCTTTCTTTCTTCTTCTTTAATAAACAAAATATTTATGTTACAATTTATCATTATCTTATTTTAGACATAATAACAACTAATTGCTGCTCATCAATCGATTGATGCTGTGGTGCAAATGTTGTTTCTCTTTAATTGTATGATGGTCTAAATGTAATTTAACATTGAAACTAAGTAATTTAATTGCTAGATTTTAACATTACAATTGGAACAAGTAATTTATGTAGTATGACTTATTTGGATTGGGTTTCAAATACTAAGACACATAAAAAAAAACTTATATAGCCAAGTCTAGCTGAAACACCTCAGGTTTTGGATTTATTCAAACTGACTTGAATACCTGTTATTATATATTATTTTATTTTATTTTCTTTATATATTATTTTATTTTATTTTCTTTTTTGGTTAATCTCAATTTTTATCTTTAAAAATTAAAAATTTTAATTTATTTAAATTTTATTTTATTAATAATAAAAAATTCAAGCATTTGAGTTTGGGCCAAATTTTTTCACAATTTTTTAAATTCCCAAACCTAATTCTAAGATTTTTTTTGGACTCATTCAAATTGGTTCGTTGGGCTTCATCCTGGCTCTATTACATTGGAACTAGTTTACTAATTTCTTTCATATGAATATATTTTTCTTTGGACAATCACTCCAATTAAAAATGGTTTCATTGTCTGTTTTTTTTTTCTTGGAAAAATATAACATAAGAAATTACAGTCTTCTTGGTTCAATGAGCAGAGTTCAAAACATTGGGAGAGAGAGACCTTGCTGTTGTTTGAATTTAAAGTTAAAATTTTACTGCATCACATAAAAAAGTTGGTAAACGAAGCCATATAACTGGATTATATGTCACGGACTGGGCCCAATATCAATACGGTCCAAATTGCCTTCAAGGGGCTATTTAGAATGGAGGCAAAAATTGGCTTGTGGGCTTTGGAGAAATTCAAATGGGCCAGCTCAAGGGGTAAGGTTATTATATGTTAAACAGAGGACGAATGTGCATGGGAAAGGCATAGAAGAAAATTGATGAATTATCTGTGACTGCTCTTCTGCTATCTGACCTTTCTAATTTATTCTTTAGGTTCCAATGAATTAATGTTTTATTATTATTGTAATAGGCTTTTGCCAAACAAGATTATTACCTTCAGTTGTTGATATGAGTAATTTTCATTTGAATATCATATTTTCTCTAGTATTTTCTAGTCTTTGTGTATCAGGATTCAGGATTGGTGACTGTGACATTATAATAATGACTATTGAGTTTTAATTTACAATAAACAAGGGCAATAAAAAAAAAAAGGCGAATGAAATTACAATGAAAAAAGGGAAACAAAAACAAGAACGGGAGATAGAAGCAAGCATCCCCAGAAAACCAACACAGAGAATCATTTTCCGTTCATTTTCGAATTCTTGAATGCAAATCAAAATGATTGGAGTGGATTTTGGGGTCAAACCAGAGGTAACTTTTTGCCAGAAAGCCTCAAACTTCCAATGGTTCAGCAACTTGTTTGAGGATACTTGAAGGTTCGTATGGATCAACACCTCAAACTTCTAACTTCTCAGCAGTGTCAGGTTTTAAACGGTTTAATCGAACAGTTCCAAGAATGAACTCAGGCAGCTCTTCCTCTTCCTTTGCCTGCAAATATGGCAACCGTGAGTACTATCTATCCGCACAATATTCCTGTAGAATAATATTCTCTGAATTATAATCACTTATATTTCATCTGTTTACAGGGGTATATATACAAGATAAGAGAGGGTAGAAATAAATCTAAACTCCTAACCTCCAACTAACAACTACACTAATTACATAGTATTTACATCTTAATATCTTACCAATTCCTTCATCACTTCTTGTACTTTTAGAAGTGCATTAGAAACTGACAAGGATTTTACTGAATTGCTTTTTACAGGAAAATGGAAAAAGACAAACAGTTATTTGTGATAAAAAAGTACCTAATGAGCTTAAAGTGAGGTTTTATTAAACTACCATAAGGCGATGTTATAAGATAGTAAATATTGGGTATTAAAAAGACTGCAAGAAAAAAAAAATGGGGCAGCAAAGGTGATGATGATGTTGAGATGGATATATGGTCATATAAAAAGGAATAAGATTTGTAATGAATAATGATCATATATGAGGAAGGGTTGGCGTGACATCTATGAAAGGGAAGATGATAGAGAATTGTTGAGATACTTCATATATATACAAAGAAGGCCAAAGCATGTGCTGATTATGAGGGTTGAATATATGGTTTTTACTCTCGAAGAGAAGTAGCGGAAGACAAAAGAACACTTATGAATGTTATTGAATAAGACCTTTTGAAAAACAACATATCTAAAGAGTTGACTATTGATAGAATACAATAACACAATATGATGTGTGTGTGTGACTTTCTTTAATGAGATAAGGCTTGTTGTTATTGTCTTTTTCTGGAAAAAAATTCTCCCCTAAGCAGAATCAAAATAAAGTAGAAAATAAACTCATCAACAAAAAGCATAATTGGTGCAACTTAAAAAACATGTTTAAGTTTCTCCCTTCTTTCTCCTATGGTCTATGATCTGCTCTTATTTTATTTTTATTAACATTTTAATAAAAAAATTCTTAAATCTTTGCTAGAACATTTACAGGCAGACTCTCAAGTCTAGCACCAGGGACAGCGAAAGATGACACCACACGGCAATACTTAATCCATAAACTTTATATCTAGAGAGGCACATACCTCTATTAAAATAGCAAGGTCAACCACTAGGCTTGTAACATATCCCAGCACAAGACCAATAACACTTCTAGCTACGGACGATGACCCAATATCCACATCTATCTGCACAAACAGAAAATTGCATGACAGAGTAATTTACCCCACAATGCGGACATGGCAATGACAGCAAAATTGTTACAAACAATTTCATTATCAATGTTGACACAGGAATCTTAAAATACTAGCAATCTGCAAACATATACTTTAGAGTGAATTCTCAAGGTTCAACAACCAAAGTGATTGTAGTTGATATGGTGTAGTATATGGAAATTACGTAGGACTAATACTGGAGTTAAAGTGGCAAATGGGCAGATACTGCGACATTCAAGTCATTTGGATTTGTATGCTGTAGATGGACTAACAAAAGGATTTTGCATCCATTACCATGGTCCCATAGAAAATTAAGAGCGAAGTTTGATTTTGGAAAGAGCAGGATTGTGAAGGCTTGCATTACCAACTTATTACACTCTCAGGTAATATAGACCCATTGGTTCTTCATACAAGACCCCTTAAAAATTAATGAAACATTTGTGACTTATTTCAAAAAGTACTCTCATCCTTTTCACTTAACTTCAATAATGGCTCCCCGTCCCCCACAATGAATTATACCAATCAAAAGGGTAATTTTATAAAATTGTAATAATTTTTGACATTTAACTATTTTTAACTAATTTCCTTAATCTCATGAAAGTAGTTAAGAGGGTCTTATAAAAAGGACCAAAGGGAGTGTCATGAAATTAGACTGCAGTTTTGAAGGTGAAAGGATGCTATACAATATTTACCAAAAAAAATGATTAAATGTGCATTTTTGTGAAAGACATTAGTTTGCATCTTCTTAATTCAAGAAAGACTAACATTTTGAGGTGAAATTTGGAAATAGAATATCTAGAGGGAAGATTTATGCTAAGAGCATGATCATAAAATATGGTGCAATAATTATTTAGAAGTTAAAACGTAGAGAAATAAGCTGTTATAATAGTTCCAAAGATAAAATGGCCAAAGAACTTGATGTATGAACATACATAAGCAAAAAACACGATATTCTAAAATACTAGATAATATGAGATTACAAAATATTGCATAAATATGCATAAAACAAGAAAGTAAACTTCAAAACCTACCTTTTTCATTTTAATTTGTTTAATGATATCTGGCACAACTATCTAAAAGTCATCATAAAATCTGACAGGTAAATAGAAGTGAAAATGCTGTTGAGCAAAATAAAAAACAAAAGGAAAAAATGCCTGTGCAGATTTACCTCCAAAAAATTATCTTGTCTACAGTATTTACAAGTTACAGCTTTCGCTAAAAGGCAAGCTTTTGTTCCAACAGCCCGTTTGACCATCCAATATCCCTGTTTATTGGAAAGTGTCAGCTGCTGAATGCTTTCAGGCATCAAACAGGACATATTCCCCGGTGGTGGGAATCCCATACCTCAACTATACTAGGAATAAGTTTGAATCTTGTTTCTCTAAATGAGTCATCCCCTTCCGCGAACTTGCCCAATAAAGAATCTTTATTTACAGGTCTATCAGCTGCATAGTATAGAACTAAACTGTAGTTTGGTTTAGCTGGAACCTGAAATGAAATGCAATAAACAATTCCTTCCTTGAGAAACCTATATGTAAAGAAAAATTCTCATATTGATCACTTCAATGTGCAAACCAAGATCAAACTGGAGCTACTTTTACAGGTTTCCAAGAATGCAAATATTGTTCACTTCCTTACCTATGAGTGGATGTCAACGTCCTTCTGTTTTCTCCAACTGAACAAAATATTCATTATGCTAATTTCGACATTATTTGAGAGTAGAATGTGCTTTAACTAAACACATCAATGACCTAATTAATTAGTTCTTTTCCTCCACCAGCTTCTCCTCCCTTCTACTGTTCAAGTTGCCCTTGAAGAGAATGATATGTGGATCCATTTCATATTTTCTTGAAGAGAAGAAATTAGCAGTGGTTTGTAATGGACATTTACCATCAACTACATTCCAGATGGAAGTATCGATCTTTAAAAAGCTAGATCAGTAAAGGGATTGTGTTATGTAATTGTAACTGTCATGAATTGGCTGGGGGATCT